AAAGGTATTCATTTAATCATTTACAATAAATGCTGGAACAATATTTTTTACAATAAATGCTTGAAAAAGAACACCTGTTCCGTCTTCAGTGTCTAAGTGTCTGGATGAATCTGTGAGAATTCTGTTTCATAACCGATTTGGTAACAAAGATAGTGAAAGTTTTTTAGAATATATCTATATTATCTACATGTTTGTGTATACATACAGATAACAGCGTCTAATACAAGAACTCACAAATACTAAAATTACGTCATTTTACAAAAATACTAAAATAAGAGAAAGAAGCTTACGTTGATTTACTAAAACTACTAAAGTCTTAAAATATTAAATACGAAACATAAAAAAGAATGGTGGTTAAAACGAAGCGAACAAAGCCGAATCCAGAATCAATTTAGTGTAAAATACGTCTAAAATTACTCGAAGATACAGAAAAGAAACTAAATACAAAAGACAAAGTCCAGCAAAGTGACCTAAACAAGTGGTCTGCTCAGCACAACCGTTGTTCTGCTGACGACTCAGGCCGAAGGAAATCCGGAGAACGACACAAGTAGAGGTTTAAGGAGATCTCTCGTCGTTGTTCTGGCGGCTCCGAATATTTACTGACGCCGCTGCCTTCACTTTCATCATTTTCATAATTAGACACAATTGAAATATGAAAAGCTAAGAGGACGATGTCAATACGCAAAATAGGAATGAAATAATTTACAGGATAAAATCATACAATCTTCAGATACATAGGTACCTACAGATTTAGATAAATACATACATAAAAATTTATACAGAGAGATACATACATACACACGAATACACACATACAAAGAAGTGTGTATATCTACATATATTCTCACTTTCACCTTCACATTGATGACATATAATCAGTTTCACGTCCGGGAGTTTTCCCCGAAATGAAAAATAATTGATGTAACTATTCGAACATTGTTCTTGACAAACCGAAGCTTCATGTTCGTGTGTTATTTATGATAAAGACGAAAGAGTTTTATGACAGCCTTTTTATTAATACTGATGACTATGATACCGATTATTACAATAATGGTATTAATAAATCTAATAGTAATGCAAATCTGATTGATAATGATAACAATAATATAATGATGATAATTAATAATAATGATCATAATCGCAATAATAACAAAAATGATAATTATTAAATAATGATAATTATTATAATTACCATATTAAAAGAAAGTGGTGATCAAATAGTGGAGAGAGAGAGAGAGAGAGAGAGGGGGGATAGAGAGGGGGGATAGATAGAGAGAGAGGGGATAGAGAGAGAGGGGATAGAGAGAGAGGGGGGATAGAGAGAGGAGGGGGGAGATAGAGAGAGAGGGGGATATAGAGAGAGAGGGGGGATAGAGAGAGAGGGGAGAGAGAGAGGAGATAGAGGGGATAGAGGAGAGAGGGATAGAGAGAGAGAGGGGATAGAGAGAGAGAGGGGATAGAGAAGAGAGAGGGGATAGAGAGAGAGGGAGAGATAGAGAGAGAGGGGATAGAGAGAGAGGAGAGAGAGAGAGAGAGAGATAGAGAGAGAGAGAGAGAGAGAGAGAGAGAGAGAGAGAGAGAGAGAGAGAGAGAGAGAGAGAGAGAGAGAGAGAGAGAGGGGGGGGGATAGATAGATAGATAGATAGATAGATAAGAGAGAGAGAGAGAGAGAGAGAGAGAGAGAGAGAGAGAGAGAGAGAGGAGAGAGAGAGAGAGAGAGAGAGAGAGAGAGAGAGAGAGAGAGAGAGAGAGAGAGAATTTATTAGTTAAAGTAGACTAGGCTGTGGTTTCTGTCGATATTGGGGATTGGGGTTCGAGTCCCCAGTCGTTTTGCTTTTTCTTTCGAGTTTGTGGCATTAAATAATCCTATTTTACTAACAATAAATACAAATATATTATCATATTTGGAAAAAATCAGTTAAGATTAATAATTATATTTTCATCCGAGAAGCCTTCGGGAAAAACACTAAAATCGCGAGCCGAGACAGAAAACTATATTTTTCTGCCGAAATTAGGAAAGATTAGATTTGTCGAAGATAATCTCAGTCAACCTTGCAATGCTTGTAATGAAAATCCCCATAGTAGATACAACCATCAAACAATATTAAAGATATATGACGAAAACCCAATCGGGAAAGGTGTTCTTATCATGAGCTATTTCTTTTTTATTTCTATTTTTTTTTTTGCCTATGTCTCTTCTGATATGACTTTACTGGAAAAAGAGAATATCAGATGTTTGTTCAATGATATCCTCACAAGAATCAATCGACTGTTCAAAACCCAAAAATATAGTGAAGGTGATGCAGCGGAGAGCATTCGACATCAAAAGCTGCATGGTGGTCAGAGGCACGCGAATTTGCCTTAATCTGCGCCATGTCCAAGGGCGCGAAAAGCCTAAGCTGAGTTCCTCTTTTGTCTTCTCGCCGAACACACAGGTGATCTTTGACGAAGGAATTTCAAGCAGGGACCGAGGTTGAATTCTCGGCTAATTGAAAACGTTATTGCACTGAACGGTAGCTTGGCGCCGCACCTCCTCCCCCAAAAAGCTGAAAAGACGCCCCTACCAGTGTCCATTTATACGAATACGATATAATAATTGAAAATCCAATTTATTCGACTGTTTCTTTGTGTGCTTTGAGAAAGTTTAAATAAATTCAGCAGTGACAGAGGATTAGAGAGAGAAAGAGAAAGATGAACGAGAGAGGGGCAAAGAGAAGTCAGGGAAGATATAACAAAGGGAACAAGAAAACAATAGTGATAGTAATGATAAGAATTGTAGTGATGATATTAATAGCAATGACAGGGTATGTTAGTTCTGTTTACTGGTGTATTCATCATCAGATATGTTTAGTTTGAGATGATGATAGTAATTGCCATGATAATGATGGCAGTGACTAATGCTAATGCTAGTAATGAAAACTAAAACTACGGTAATGCGTTGTCCATGACAGGCCTAGCCTGAAGAACTCTGAAGATCGCTGGTTAGATACTAATTTGTTAGATTCTTGTATCCCTTCAATTCACACTTTCATTTTCTTTCTCTTTCCATTTTACCTACAACACTGACTGAGGAAGGTTGTAATACCTCTCAGTCTCACGTTCAATGCTTGCTGTCTCTCTCTCTCTCCCTCCTTCCCTAGCCCCCCCTCCCCTCTCTTTTACTCTTTCATTCTCCTTCTTTGCCTCTTTCTCTCCCTTAGTAAAATTTTGCATCGTTAAAATTAGGCCCTTTATGGGAAAAACATTAGACTTAAGTATGTTCTTTAAGTAATAAGCGAGAAGACTGAGGAGTCAGTGCGAGCAGCTATTTACTGGAAGTAAGATGTCATGGCAGTGTTTTTGTGAAGAGGATCATTAAAAAGGAGATACAAACGAGTAAATATGCAACGGCTGATACCAATATTTTTTTGGCTTACAAGTGAATGGATACATTCTTTACGATTTATGATTTGAATTTCCTATTCATTGAGATTCATCACCTTTTATATAAAAGAAAAAAAATCTTACAATTATAACTCTGATTGCTATAATGTATATTTTAACTATTATGATTTCTATTATCATCAGGAGCAAGAGAGAAAGAGAGGAAGAGAGAGGGCGGTAGGAAGAGCGAGGGCCAAGTGAGAAAGGGGGGGGGATAGGGTCTGTTAAACTGCGTGTCATATAAATGTCATATTCTCAGCATGTGTCCCTCCATTTCTGTCACTCAATTTTTTCTCAGTCCCCCCTAGCCTCTTTATCGCATTTTCTCTCTTTGTTTCTTTCTATAGATACAGACCGTATAACAATCTGTTAAGTAATTTTGTGGTGGATATGACACTGCTTGGAGAATCTCTTATCTCTACTCCGTTTTCTTCTAACCTTTTCAATCTTTCCGTATTACTCACATACGTTCAGTATACTAACAATAACATGCTGACAAGGAAGTTAAAATAGGTCAAAGCACTGATTCCCATTTTTACGTCATTATCATGTTTTCTCACCAATGTTTTACTTCCTTTGTCATTTCACATTACACAGATGCAGCAAGGCCTGGAGTTTTCTCATTTAAGAAAAAATGTAATGATAATCCTCTTTGATTTCCACCGCTATACCAGCACAAGGAAGTAAAAGAATCACGTTTTCCTGACAGGTCGCTTTGAACTCTCTGCCTGATGAGTTTTCCTTTGTAATAAACCAACAGAAGAGTGATAAGTCTAGAGAGGAAAATGCCAAGATATAATTATTATTTATACACAATTTTCTTCCTCTCGGCTCCTGGTTGCTGTCTCCCCTCACCCCCCCCCTCTCTTTCACACCCCGTCTATTGAAATATATCAGTTTCTTTCAGGCACACAAATACACGTCCAAGTCCATCATTCGTATGATGAAGCAACAAATGTTTACTTTGTTATGCCAATGATAATAATGATGATAAAAAATCGCCTTAATAGAGGAATGGTTTCCGTGGGGATTTATTATTCCTTAAGTTATTTGATTTTTTTCCTTTGTTGTCTTAAGTGTATTAAATCTTTTGTATTCATTTCATATATACATACACACACACACACACACACACACACACACACACACACACACACACACACACACACACACAGATATATATATATATATATATATATATATACATATATATATATATATATATATATATATATATATATATATATATATATATATATATATATATGTGTGTGTGTGTGTGTGTGTGTGTGTGTGTGTGTGTGTGTGTGTGTGTGTGTGTGTGTGTGTGTGTGTGTGTGTGTGTTGTGTGTTCATTTCCTCGTTTGTATTAATTTTATATATAAATACAATGTGTATGTATGTGTATATGTGTATGTGTATGTGTATGTGTATGTGTATGTGTATGTGTATGTGTATGTGTATGTGTGTGTGTGTTCAATATCAATTATATATTTTGTTATGATAAATTTCATCAAGGTATTAAAACCTTGAAATTTCTCAATGCAAACTCCAGCAAGAATAATTCTTTTGATGGT